AAGATTTCTCTCTCTATTGTTTGCTCTCATTGTTCTTCGTTCACATAATAGACTCAGATTCATAGATTGTTGTAAAGATTAGCGATAGTTCCTTTTATCAAGTATGTTGTATTCTGTACTTCTCTATATTTCAATACATTTTATAAAATAAATGTTCAAATATTCTTGGTGCGAACATTCATGATTAATAAACTCTAGCAATCTTTTCAAATCATAATGAATGAACATTCATCATTTCCCTAAATATTGGTTTGTAGGTTTGTAATATTTAGAAGATTTGCATTTGATTTGTCGCATATATATATTTTAAACACATTATTAATAATTAATAGCTATTATTAGAAATATTAATTTTGGTGATTATCAGAAAATATTAAACACGTTAATTATCTTCTCTCTTTTCTTCGGCCGACGAACCTTACTCCGGCCAAAATTATTCCAACGTACACCATTGTGATATCCTCTGAGATACCCAAGAACTTCTAAACAGTAAGACACGAACCGATTGTGATACACACTATGATACAATTATGATGCCTAAGAACTTCTAAACCAAAAGACACAAACCTACTATGATACCCACTGTGATACCCTTCTGAACTTCGTGGTTTTCCATCTCTAGAGGCAACTCTCACCTTCACCACAAATAAGGAGTTTCTTCAAGTAGGAGGAGGAGATGGATAACCCAGAAACCTAAACTCACAATGGTTCGTAGACGTTTATTGCAATAACCATCTCTCCCTTTATGTTATCTGTATATATAAAGTTTGGGGAGGATCTATAATTTTCCAATCCTCCAGGGGCTAGAGTTGTAAATAAGGGAGTAAATGAGAAAAGACTCTTTCATTTCAAACATTGTGAACGGCACCTCTAAGGTGTGTATGTGCGTTTTTTAGGATTCATCTTTTTCAGGTAAGCATTTCCTCTTATCTCTCAATTAATGGAGTTTTGTTGGGTAAATTGGGAGATCTAGGGCTCCTATATGTGTTTCTTAGTGTACTTCTTGATTAGTTATGGAAATCTATGAATTAGAGAATATTAATTTCAAATTGTGATTTAAACTAATCCTTCTGTTGTGAATCATCATGGTTTTACTTTGGTGATGTAACACCCTATAATCACGTTTGCTTATAAACATATATTGCATATATCAAGAAATACATTTGGTCCCAAATATAATAAAAGCTACATTACAAAAGTAACTACCAAAATTTTCTCACCAAATCACTATACAAAACTTGTATACGTAACAAGTATTCAAAAATAACAGATAAGCATGTCATCTTTCACATCCCATGTAAGCATATAAGACTTTTCACAGTTTCCCTTTCCTTTTATCCTCTGTTTGGGCCCGACCTGTAATGAAAATTTTTAAAATACAAAATGAGGGTTAGACCTTGAGGTCTAGTGAGAAATCCCTTTGATGAAATTACAGGGTGAAAATCACCAAATCATGTTTCTAAACTCATATTTGTGATAATAACAAATATACATCATTTTGGTATAACAAATCTCATTTATTGCATTCAAATACCCAATAATTTGAAAAACACTTCATGGCTAAAACTTGTCGCATCATATAGAAATTTACACAACTTGTCGCATCATAGCCTAGAGCCAAGACCAACCGAAGCCCCTCTGGTCTTACCAACCAGAGGCAAGGCCAACCAGATGCAAGACCAACCATAGGCTCTCTAGTCTTATAACAAGTGTTCACTTCATCGCATCAATAGTTAGCGATAACAGTAATTTCTCACACCATACTAGTGTGATAAACCCAATTCGTCGCATCTCATTGATGCAATAAATGTAACACTTTGAATCATAACGCAATCTCATTGCACCATCCTATGCGATAACAATCACACTTATCGCATCATATAGATGCGATAACAGAATCCCATATCAAAAGATCATCATTTCCAAATTTGATTATGCCACCTTTATCCCAATATACCCAGCTCTCGATTATGCCACTTTTATTACAAAAATATATTCAGCTCCTGATTATGTCACCCTTATTACAAAGATGTACCCATCTCTTGATTATGCCACCCTTATTACCAAAAATACTCATATCATGATTATGACACCCTTATTACAATCAGATGATAACATCGTATCAAAACCCAAAATTTATACTAACAATAGCATATACACATCACGTATCCACGTACGAAACCTTACAATTTCATTACTCAAAAACATAATAAAGAATATTTTCAAAATAAAACTCACCTTACTCAAAATTGCATCTGGCCAATGTCATTTTGAATTTACTTATATATGAGCGTGCTTGATTACTATTGTTGAGATAATCGGTTGAATATGGTAGTATGTATTAGGTGCTAAATTTTCAAGTTCAATCAAAGAGTTTCTGTGTGCTATAAGAAGTTGTTTATGGTGTAACTGTTAGGACCTTTAAGAAAGAGTTTTCTCGAGGGCGTCTGTGACTCAACTAAAGGTAGAATTCTTGAGACTTGAGCAAGGAAGTATGATTGATTAAGAGTACTCATAAATTAAAGGAAAGTATCCAATTTTCAAGGTTGGTTGCATCAGTCGAATGACATAGAATGAAGAGGTACATTTGGGGATTGGAAGTTTCTATAAGAATGCAGATGATGATAATGGATTCTTTGATTTTTCACTCAGTAGTGGACACGACGAAGATTATTAGGAATAATAGGATCATCAAATCAGGAAGTAAGGGAAGGACGGGAAGAAATTAATAGGGGCATACTAATGACCTGAAGAAGTCAAAGATGTCGAAATCGGATAATCAGCAAGCCAGTTGATCAAATCAAAAACTTTATATTATGGGTAACCGAGTGTGATGGGGTATCTATTCCAAGAGTTACTGATGAACTTCATTTGAGCGTATCTCATAATTTAGTTTT